CCTTTTGAACTGTTATACGCGTTCACAGAGAACATACCACTTTCGTCCCTCAAAACGGCGAGATAAAGAAGTTAGAGACATTTGCGCGTGGCAACAGTGGCGACATCATACTGTAGCTGTACGAGACAACGGCTCACAAGCTTCTATTCCTACAACACCCGCGCGGCACTTTGCCATCTTCGGTTATCCGCGCTTTCCATAGCGATTAAGCGCAACCTCGCACCGTTGGACATAAACTGAAGACGACTTAGGCTGTTTTAGGGTTCCATAGTCTTTGCAAGCGCGATTCCAATTAGGAGGATGTGAACAAAAGAGCAGCAAGCCTTTCTTGAGTTTCATACTCTGCAAGCGATGGGAAGGACGTGAACTGAAGAGCAGGTAGTTCGTCTTCCATACTCTTCGCAAGAGGAGGATGTGAAATGAAGAGCAGTTAGTGTGTTTCTCAGACTCACCTAATGATCTTTTAGATGGGGCACTATTCAATTGTTACTACCCCAATCTTCCGACATCAGACCAGTTTTACTATCGAGCTTTTCTAAAAAAGGCTGAAAATTTCGTTTCCAGACCTTCAACCTCCAAACAAACAGGAATATCGCATCGCTTGGCCAAGAATTGCCTGGCGTCACGCCACGGTATCAAGCTTTGCGCTCCAATCGCTATGGAGAGCGCGTCCTTCACCCCCGACACACTCGTCCAAGACGCCGCCCCACTGCTGAGGGGAGGTCTGTGTTTAGGGTGTTCCCGAGGTTTTTTCGCTACTTTTGGAGCTACTTATGGGCCACTGGTTCATGAATGAGCACCAACTACCCGTGAAACTTGATCGCAAGGATTGTCTGTAAAGACGGACATGCCAAGAATACACCTCGCAGCTGAGCGTTCGTTTGTCTTTCAAGTTCTATGGCTCGATAACTAAGCCAGAAGAGTGAGCGGTGTCATAGTAGAAGAGATACGGCGATCTCAAAACCCCGACTGTGCTGTGGAACTAACTGTAAATCCCACTGTACTTTCTAGGTACCATCCGTTCGAATTTCATTTGATCCGCTCTCTATGAACCAGTTTGAAGAGGAACATTCAAGTTCACTTAATGACGCCAAATCCGTGGTTTAGTTGTTTTTTGAACCTGAACGTCCAGATTTCTGGTCAAAAAAGAAACTCGTAACCCTCTACGAACGATTGCCCCTGCGATAGGCAGTGATCAGATCGTTCACATAAATTCATTCTATGATCAGTAATAATTTGAAGTCTTCTGTAACCGCAATAGTTACAGAGATCCGCTTAGCTCAAGAGGTGACCTATAGGGAACGGGTGAAATATGTGGTGTTCAAAAATGTCGAGGGAGCAGGCAGGATGAGAACATTGTCAGTGAAATGGCCCAAAGTTTCTATTTCCAGCGGCGGCCCCATATCATCGACTCATTCACGAAGAAATCGGAAATCAGTAGGATCGGGCAAGCCGCGGATTTCACGATGACCAGTGGACCAACACGCCAAAGCGATTACCGACCAGGGTACAGCATCGTGAGAGGGAGTGGGGAGGGGCTAATAGCACACATGAAACGGGAAAAACCGCGAAAAGTCAACAACCGGGAAAAATTTTTTCCCAACGCGGCAAATTTCTCTCAAAGCACATACGACCCCCCCTCTCCCAACAAGCGCGAATACGACCCCACCCCCCTCCCCAGCGGAAAAGTACGACCCCCTTTATGTGTTTCCCACAACGATGCTCTCTAGCTGTTATCGACTAGTTCTCGCGGGTGTTGAACAATCCCAATGACGGCTGCCATAGGACCGATGGCCAGACTTCATGGAAGCTTTGTACGATAAAAGAACTCGATAACGCGTGAGCTCTCAAAACGCACCTAGTCTTGCACCTCAAAGAACGAACTAGAACGTTACTGTCGTCTCTCACCAAGCAATAGGAGCGCAGGTGACAGATAGTGCCAGATAGGATGCGAGCGCTTTTTGGAAAAGATGTCAGCAACATGGATGGCAGTGATATTTCCAGTATCAAAGCGGGACCCGCTGGTTAGCCTTGACTGATTGCTTTTGTTGGCTGTAGGTAAGAACACTTTGCTACGAGTGCGCAAGAGTGAACCGCGCTCGGGCAAGCCATGTAGGACCAAGGTTCACCACGCAGGTAGGTTTTCCTCAGATAGCGCAC